CATGTTCCCCCCTGCTCCCATCTTCTCCTACCTGCTCCCTGTTGTGCAGAGTCTGGAGGGCCACCTCAGACTGCAGCAGGTCTCTGTCCCTTTCCCTTTAACAAGCATTTAGTGGKTAGGGTTTAGGACTCTAAATCTAGAGTTCCCTGATCCCAGGTGAGCACTTTAAGACCAGCCTATCCAGGCTATGAGTGTATCTCTCTCCATTGATTAATTAATATTTCAATGCTACTGTAAAATGGAGGTTCAAATGGGAAGGAAAAAAAAAAAAGATAAAGCAAGTTAATCTATAGTTCCAAAGAGTTTACTGATGATRTCACTACTCTTCATTCTGGTAAGTGTGGACTTACCTCTGTGGTGGAACTTAAAAAGAGATCCCCTATCTCCCAGCTAGCTGCCCTGGCCTGTGGCTAACAGGGGGCCCATTTCCACACACCTTTCCCCCCCACCAAAAAAAAAATCACTTTCTAAGGCCAGCAAGGAGGAATCCAGCCCGGCAGAGAAGCTCCAAGGATAGACCTTACGTGTAGCCCCACAGCAAGTGGGGCAGCAGCAGGACGGTGCCTCACGGGGCCGTGGGCACGAGCTGGACCTCGCAGCAGCCCAGCAGGGCTGGGCTTGAGCAGGTGCTTGTGCATCTACTCTGTTGCAAAGACGTCAGCGCTGGGATGTGTARGCAGCTGCTGGGCCGTGCTTTTCAGAGCTCGGAGCAGTCTAAATACTTCACTGCAGGCAGCTTTCTAACCCCTTAGTCATTCAGTTTAGGATGTCCTGAATAGTGGTGTATTAAACCAAGTGATGCAAAATATCTCTCCATTGACTATTGCAGTAGGAGTCTGTTTAATCTGTGGCCAGACCAAGTTTTTATATGCATAATACATACAAGCTGGGCACTGATAGTGCTCTGTGCTGCCTGGCACCCCAATACCTGTAGCTTTGTGGTTGCCCCATGTTGTAGTGAGCCAGTTTCAGGATATCACAGACGGATCCACAGAGAAGGATGCTCGATGGATGCTTCTGCCCAAAGTAGGGGTACAGCTGCTTGCAAGGCTTGTCTTCATGAGGACACCTTGGGTTCTGACTGAGCGTCCACATGCAGTGGCCCACAGGAAATGACTCACTCAAGATATGTGTGGGAAACAAGGACACTGCTGCGCTAGAAGCTGTTCTGAGGCAAAGAAGGAAGATTTTTTTTCCCCTTTTTTTTTCCTTTTTTCCCCTCCCGCCATGAGCTGGACCGTGTTTGTAGCATCTACAGAGCAGTGACAGTAAGACACAGACTGTAGTTCAGGGCCATATCTTCTCCGATTACAGAGATGACAGAGATTTCTTTGGATGCTTTAGGCTCCAGCAGCCGCAGGGGTGCAGGAGGTTCTTGGGGACAAAGGAAGATGAAGGCCTGTCAYGTTCTCCTAATGGATCCGTGCAGAGCTGGTGTGAACCAGCCGTGGGAAGCCATGGGATCGCTCGGCCTTGCCCTCACCTCAGCAAACACCGTCTGGTCTCCCAAGGAGTTCCGCTCTGGCCCGATCCGCCAGTGAAGCTCAGTGTGTTTATGACAGGGTGTGCGCTAGGGCTGGAGCAAAGAGAGCGGCCCAGGTGGGAGACTGTCAGCCCCGTCTTCCACTTGTCCACACATCTCCTGCCGCGCACACATGCGCTCGCCACGGGGTAAAAAACCTCTGCCCAGAACTTTTCTGCCGGTTGGTTCTCTGAATTACATCATCTTCGATAAGCCACTGACCTGCAGCTCCAAGCTCAGTCATCCACATGGAGGCAGCGTTTTTTAGTGGGAAAACAAACGGTGCATCAGAATAGTGGCTGCTACCTGTATTGTTTACAATTCTACTGTTGCCGCTTTTCTTTTGTTYTCTCAAACCCTTGCTGCACCAGATCACAGCATGGAAAATCTGCCGTGCCTCAGAGCAGGATGAAACTAAATAGTTGACCCTCTAGTAATAAGAAAATGGGAAGTCACCTGCTTTGGGTTATACAGAGCAGCTTGGATACAGAGTTTAAACTCACAGAGAAAGAAGAAATTCTCCATTTGAGGGAGAGGAGAAGGAGCTGGATGAAAAGRTCCCCTGAAGCAGGAGAACAGAGACCAAAAGGCAGTGGCATGAGCGTCCATACGGGATGTAAAATAAGCTGACATTACAGAGGCTGGAGTCCAGAGAGGATCTCCAAAGAGCCACAGTCATGTGTACATCAGCACTCAGGGATTGCCCAGATCCGTCCTGGGGGGCATCCAGGGTGTAGAAGGGCAGGTTTACTGACACACCTATCCCAATAACCTCTATAGCTACTTCCCTTTCTTTTTCTTTTTTGCTTCTTCACACTGCCCTGGATATATTTTGAAATAAAATCACGTCTTTTTATCTCTTATCATCACATTCCTGCTGTACGTGCTGCATCAACAGTTCTCAATTACCGCTGGGCATTTCTTCTTCACTTGGTTAAAATCCAAGCTACGCCACAGGTTAAAACACAAGAACTTTGCTGCCAGCAAGTGCAACTGTATTTAATGTTGCGCTTCTGTCCAGCATTAGTGATACTGATCCAGGGAGCAGAGAGGGGAACCTCGCGGAGCTCGGGCGCCTGGCTTGCACGTGGCACGGGAGTCAGCAGCGCCTGGTGGCGGCAGCCCCGTCCGGGCCGCGGCCTCGCGCTGCTGCCGGTGCCGCGTGCGGGTSGCGGGGTGGCTCCAGGCCTGCCCTGTGCGCCGAGCACAGGCGCCTCTCGCGCTGCAGGCGGGCAGCAAATACCCGCGCTTGCAAGTGCTGCTTGCGCTGCTGTCGGCAGCGGCCGTCTCGGAGCGGCCGCGCCGCGCTGCCCGGCGCGCCGCGGCCCCGCAGCCAGGCAGGCACGCGGGGGATCCCTGCCGTGGACAGGGCTCCCTCCCGCGCGTCTCTCTGCCCGTGGGAAGCCCGGGATGTTAACGCGTTCTTGCAGTGCAGGTTGTGTCTGGCCGCTTTTCCGTGCGCCTCCGAGGGGCTGTGAGAGCCTCCCAAAGGCCCAGGCCATGGAGCCGCTCTCTGCGGCCGCGCTTGCCACGTGGCCWTGGCACCTACGCAGCATTCCAGTGCTGTTCCCTGTGTTCCCGGCACTGTCCCCACCTCTGGGGCTCCCTGCTGCACGTGGCACCCCGTGCTCCTCCGCAGCTCTTGTGGAAACCACTGAGAAATGRCTGGTTTCTCTAGGGATATATGGAGTCAGACACCAGACACCTGCTTTTAGGGGCCCAGCTGGATGCACAGTGATGTCCTGGTGCAGACATGGAGTCCCATGTGCTGCAATCCTGGCTCTGCAGCCTGGGTGCCGACCCTAGCAGAGTTAGGCTCTCCTCGATCCTGGCTCTCCAGCCTGGKTGCYGGCCCCAGTASAGTYAGGYGCTCCTTGATCCTGGCTCTCCAGCCTGGGTGCCATGCCCAGCAGAGTTAGGCGCTCCTTGCCATGGGGCCGTGTGTCGAAGGTGCTTGTGCACGTGGGGCTCACAGCACATGGGGCTGCAGCTCCCRCCGAGCTCTTCCYGGCTCCGGCACAGCTCCGTCRTCGCACCCTGGCACCTGAGCGCAYGGGGAGCTTCCACCTTGTGCCCTAYTCCACAGTGTTGAGAAGAACCGGAGTTCTTACGTTCCAGCTCTTCCAAGTTGGAAAAACTCCTAGCATAGCTTTGATATTGCATGGTGGACTATAAATAGCTGTCAAATAGCTGTCATTTATATTGGGAAAGGGAAGTGAGGTGTCAAAATGCACTGGTGCTGGTGTCTGTGACTGAAAGCCTTCATGGAGGGATGAAGTTTTCACTTCCTTCCAAGGCCTGTAATTGAGAGGCAGTTGGGTCCGTGGCTTCATGCAAGGTCACTGCACCCCGCGGAGGTGACCTGGAAGGGTCTGTGCTGCTGTAGCGAGGAGAGTTCACCCTGACACWCTGTTCTAAACAGTGAGGCTGCCAGAGCCCTGGCACAGGCTGCCCAGGGAGGCTGTGGAGTCTCCTTCTCTGGAGATCTTCCCAACCCGCCTGGATGCCGCCCTGTGCCCCGTGCTCTGGGTGTCCCTGCTGGAGCAGGGGGTTGCACTAGATGATTTCTAGAGGTCCCTTCCAACCTCAACCACTCTGTGATTCAGTGAATCCTTGGCACAGCCGTGAGGAGGCGCGTTGGGGTTGCGGTCCATTAGCAGCGCACGTCGGTGGGGCGCTGGGCAGCGAGGTGGTCTCAGGCCGCAGACCCGGCCCAGCCTAGCCCGGGTTCCTGGAGCGCGGGCCCGGCCCTGCTGTGGCTGCACTGAGGCCGCCCGTTTCCTCCCGCAGGCGAGCGGCCCTTCCCCTGCACGTGGCCCGACTGCCTTAAGAAGTTCTCGCGCTCGGACGAGCTCACGCGCCACTACCGGACGCACACGGGCGAGAAGCAGTTCCGCTGCCCGCTCTGCGAGAAGCGCTTCATGCGGAGCGACCACCTCACCAAGCACGCGCGCCGCCACACCGAGTTCCACCCCAGCATGATCAAGAGGTCCAAGAGGAGCGGCCCGAGCGCCGCCTCGTGAGGCGGTGCGCGGAGGAGCGCGTCGCGTCCAGCGCCGTGGTGCTGCTTGMGTTAGAGCCTGTCCACTGAGACCGCCTGCCCCCTCACGCGTCCTCCTTCGCTCCGTAGCACGTCCTGGAAGTGGATGTTACTTCTGTCTCGGAATGACCCTCCGTTTAAGAAAGACTAACGCCGCATCTGTTGTTAGTAATAGCATCCGATGGACATATAACTAAATAAGGTGGATTTATACACAACAAGGCCCATGAAAGTACGCGAGTCTTTTAAATTTTTCTTTCTATTAACTATACTTTTGAATATAAGCTGCACTTTTTTTTTCCCCCCCCAGTAAAAGCGTGTATAATTCAAGCAAATAGTTAAACCCAAGCCAAGAGCAGCTCGGTGCTTTTCTGATGGTATGTGTATTTAGCTCCCTTTCCAGTTACCTGGAAGARACACGAGTCAGCCTGCATAACGTGGCAGGGCTGAGGGCAGAAACATTAGTCTCTCACTTGGTCCTATACTTTAATTTGACAATAAATACCGTACTGTACTATAGAAATGCCACTAACAGTGCTTTATTCTGCTGTATTTCGTTTGAGTGGATGCATAACAGCAGCTACCATCTTTATAAACTGCTGCTTTTTTAAAGGTTTTTTCTCTTCATACACTTGCCTTAAAGATTTATTCTCTTCATACACTTGCCTGACTCCCGCAGAATCCAATGGGAGTTGTGTGTGCTTATGGAGAGAGTAGACCTTTCCGTAAGAGCACTCTGCTAATGGAAACAGCTGGAATCACTGCAAAGAGCGCTTTGAAAGGGCTCCTGTATATCTCTTTAGAGCTGTTCCTGCAGAGTATGGGGGGAAACCGTGACCTAGCTCGGAATACAACGCGGAAGGAGTGTCATGATATTCCTTATGACATCAGCTTCCCGTGGGACTTTGCACCTGTGTCACGCGTGACACGTCAAATACTGATAAAGGCAATATTGCATTTACTTTAAAGTTACGTTCTGCTCTTTTAAGAGGAGCGGAAACATCACTGAAGAAGAACTTTAAATCATTGTCGTTATCTGGTGTTTCATCTTTGTTTGTGTTTAAAGCATGAACTGTAAGGGGTTATCGGTGACTTTTCCCTCCCCAGCTATTTATAGGGGGAGAATTGTGTTTACACATTTTTCTTTCCAGAGACATTCTTCTTTTTTTCTGTTCTGTTTTTACTGCTTCCTCAAGAAGAGGAAGGGAGGGTGCAGCCCTGCATAGAGACTTAGGGCCAAATTCATCTCGGGAGTAATCGCCCTGAAATATGAAGTGTTTCCACTACAGATGAATTTAGGTCATCTTGTAAAATTTTGTACATAAAAATCTTGTTAGTACACCTGCAATTACAGTATCTATTGTTTTTCCTGATATAAAGCTTGCTTCCTAGGAAAACAAAACAAAATCAACTCAGAGAGTAGAGTATTTTCTTCTACAGTTATATATGGCTTTCAGCATTAGAAATCAGTTTGCATATAGTGTTTTTACCTGTGTAGTTCATGATAAATTCCGTCTATGTGAAGAGAACTGCTTTTAAGGCATTAGGGATACTGAGCAGTCTGTGGAGTAAAAAGGGATGTGTTTTCTTCAGTGAAGACATCAGGAAACCAAGCACACTTTCTACCTCCGTTTCAGCTTTTTGAAACATTTGTTTTAGAAACCAAACGTTTTCATTTCTGGTGTCCAGGCGGGGCGGCGGGGACGGACGTTCTTCCCGGTGCGAGTCGGCAGCCGCCGCCGCGTCCCGGCCGCGCCGGGAGCCCTGGGAGCAACGTGCCCGGCTCCGCAGGGCGCCCGCCCGCCCGCTGCATCCCGCGGGATCCGCAGGGCCCGTCCCAGCTGCATGCCGGGGCAGCGGGGCGGCCGCCCGGCCTGCCACCACGGAGAAGCTCCCCGTGCACCCGCCGGGAAAGGCCGCCCAGCGGCCGGGCTACCAGCTCYGCGCCCGTGTGGGCGCCCGGCCGCAGCGCTCCTGTGTGGAGCGCGGGGGGTAGAACGCACATTAACAAAACACGTCRCCATTGCTTCGTAGTTCTGCGAGAATTAATATATGGGGATACTCGGGTCCTTGCGACGGCGGGCCGTGTGAGCTCGTGTCGCTGCGGCTGCTGCCAGGACCCTGTTTTTGAAAAAAAAAAACTCCTGGAGAGTAACTGATTTGCTCTAGCGTAAGCTGTATTTCAGCGTGATTCATTAACCACTAACACAATACATGGGGAAGGATCAGGTTGGGAGATGGTCATTTACCCTTGTGTTCATTTGGGTTTCTGATTTTTTGGTTTTTGTTTTTCTTTTAGAAAGGGCAAACAGCAGCTCTAACACATGAAATAAATAAACTCCAGGTTACCACTTTGCATCTTGAAGTTAAGTTTAGAGAGAGTGTTGCAGTTGTGGGGGAAGAAAGGAAAACCAGGTTCTCTAGTAACATATGTACTTGTTGTACTACTTTGGAAATACTTAATAGTACTGTTAGGACAGTTAATAGGAGCAGTTAGGACAGCTTAATAGGAGCTGTTAGGACAGCTCCTCTCCTTGTTTAAGAAAGCCCATTACTATAGAGAAGCCACGGCTTTAAGGTATAGCTGTACAACATACATCTTTCTGAACAATTTTTCATTATTACCTGTATTACAGATCTGTTTTCAGTTTGCAGATGGACTTGGCCCAGCGTACACCAGACTGGACATGTACTTCAAAATGCTGTTTTACAGACTAGCGATCTGTGACTGTAAAATACCAACTTTCCGACAGTCTAATCAGTTTTATTTTTGTACAGTATTCGTATCCTTTATAAGTTATTTTGCTGTCCTGTTTTGTAAATCACATGAAATTGTAAAAAAAAGAAAAGAAAAAAAAAAAAGAAAGTAGGCATAGATGTTTTTGTATATATGTATATATATATTGTCCAAATAAAAAAAAACAAGCAAAAAAAGGAATCAAAAAAGCAGCTGTCATTTTGAATGCTTGGAATCAGGGACTGGCCGCGACACCAGGTCTGGATGGTTACAGAGGTGCCGCTGTGCGCGAGGTGACCCCTGCGCTGGGTGCAGTAGGAGCCAGTGTGGGAGACCCGGGTGCCGTTGGATTGGCGTGCTGTGTTCCGCTTTTCCCAGGCATCCTCCCCGGTCCTGCTGGGAATGCAGGGGACAAGGAAGCACATGGGGAGTGTCACTCCAGGCACGCGCTGTGCCCTGGGTTCACGCACTGCCCTCTGGGTTCATGCACTTCCCCTCGGGTCCTCCAGCATGGAGCCCTGGAATCACATTCCTGCCTTGCATCCTGGGAATCCCAACCCTCTGGACCCCTTGCACCCTCGGGAATCCTGACCTATGGGATGCACCCCAG